AATTTTGATATTGATATTTTACTTAATTGTTATGTATATGGATGTCTGGTAAATTGATCGCGCTCAATGGGGTTATAATTTATAAAAATATTAAGAGAAGAAAAATCTATTTATTTTCAGAAAATAAATAACTACATATTTCCTAATAAAATAAAATAAAATCATGTTTTGAAAGCAATTTATAATTACGCAGTAACTAGATTTCTTTCCTCCTATAAAGTAAAGAATAAACTTTGAACTTGAAACTTTACCTTAAAATAATAAAAAAAAAACCTGTATCTCTTTGATCTCGACGATCTGAAATATATATAAGGGATACTAACGAGACAAATCGAAACAAATTATCTTCGTTTCCGACCGCTCAAGAAATTTCCATGAAATCAATATTTATTAATTTTCGAGGAGAAGTTCAAGTTGAAACTTGAACTTGTGGAATAGCCGATTCTGCGAGCGAGCATTCGCCAATTCGTAAATCTTATCCCATCGAGAACGAGAAGTTGGCGGGTCGCAAATCTCGTTTCGAAAACTGGCGCATTACCGTTGGGGAGGGGGAGAGGGGAAGCCGAATCTTTCTCTCTCTATCTCTCTTTTTTTTTTCCTCCCCCGCGAAAATCCACTTCAGACTCTCGAGCGAACGAGAGGGGTCAAAGTGCGCCGACAACGTGCCAGTGTAAGCGCAAATATCTTCTCGAGGGCGGAATATCCAACTGAAATCCTTGAAAAGTTGTCCAAGATATAGGATACTTACGTATACTTCCGGTTTATAACATCTGTCTACTGACTTCTTTTTTTTCTTTTCCTTTCTCTTTTTCTTTTTAAATTTAAAACGAATCGTTATGAGTCGAATTTTTATTTTTCGTTCGAGAAAAGGAAAAAGGAAGAATTATTATTCGTGGCAATAATTTTAATTTATTTTTCATCGGAGAAGGATCGTTCAAGATGAATTGATTCAACGAAAAATAGGTAATTACTTAGCAAGAGGGGGAAAGCGAGACATCGTGATTCCACGGTTATCTCGCCACCCTAATCGGAATCGTCCTTGACCTAGGATCAAGGATCAACATCCTCTCGGCAAACCCTCGAATCCTCTCGTCTCTTCGACAATCATCTTTACTTCTGTCTTTTCTAAAAACTTTTCTAAAATCAACATTTCGTATATACATACATTTTCGAAAATTAAGAAAAGTAAGAATTAAATAAAGTAAATTTTCCACCTAATTTCGTGCCTAATTAATTGAAAACAACTAGATTCCTTCTTCTCGTTCTTCTCCTATAATTAAATATCCCATAAACTATTTCTACTATTTCTATTTTCATTCAGGCTCAATTAAAAAAAAAAGAAAAACAGACCTCGTTCAACCTACGATTAAACAGTTTCATCGTGAAAAGAAAAAAAAAAAATAAAGCTTAAAAATCGAATGAATTAACCTAATTAAATCTCCAAACGATTCTACCATTTCCAGTTTCGTCCACGTTATCATCGCTTACGCCTCGATTAAAAATAATCGCATCTCGTCGCGTCTATCCTCACCTGGCCAATTGATCATTCGAAATTTAATCAATTTCCTCCATTCCTTTCCCATTCACGAGAGAAATTTAAATAAATAAATTTATATATCCCGATCGTTCAACCGAAATCGGGTTGACAATTCTCAAACCGATATTTAAAAATATGATATCGCTCCTTTCACCTTTCTTCTCCGCCCCTATAATTAATTATATCGATTGATCGTGCCCCCATCGAGGGTTTCGAAGGAGGGATACGAGACATCAGAGAATGCAAACACGGAACCGTCGTTGCAATACCACGATAGTGCATTATCGTGTAGCAAGTCGTGCTTTTGTCCGTCGAGAGATTTGGTTACAAGTACAATCGATCAGAGAGAGAGTCTATCTAATTGCTGTAGGTCCCGTAACGCGGTGTTAATGACGTAGCACAATGATATTCGATTCAGGATGAAGCAAGCTGCTGGATGAATCGCAACGGGGAGGGGTGGCGTACCCTGCCCCACGTTCACCACGTTCACGGAATCTATCAGCCACGGTCTGACGTTCCACGTAAACGGGTGTGTATTATGGAGGATGTGTACGCGAGGGGATAACAATGCTCCCCTCCCCCCCTCTCCCTTAACCTCGAAACGTTTTGGAAAATTATTCTAACGCGGTGGAGGCGGACAACGTATTCCGGATTATTCTGATGTTTCACGGCCACGGGGACGGAGAATGAGAGAAAGAAGCTTGGCATTAAGAAATTGGAAAATGGAAGTTTTTCATCTCGATTCGAAATTGAAGGGAAAGTAATTATTATTTATGTGAAATTTTTTTAAAGATTTTATAAATTTAGAGAAGAAATTTGTAGCAATTTATGTAAATTATGTAAGTGAAGAAATAAGTAGATAATATTAGGGAATAGGTTGTGGGAAATGATTGGACCAAAAGTAATAGCAAGAAAGGATATATTTAATAAAGAAAAATGTGGATTTGG